TCCACACCAGACCCCCAGCCGCCCTGTCCACGGCTGTCCAGGGTTCAGTGGGCCCCCTGCTCACCTCACCCCACAGACTGTGGCTGAGGGCTCTGGTTACCCGCCCTAAGATAGATAGGATCCAGCTGGGTGCGACCCCAGGGTCACATTCACACAATCCTTGGCACACTTCTGACCCCTGCTCTCTCCAGACCTGGTGGGGATTCTCCGCGAACCGGGATCAGATGTGCCCGTGTTACCATGCAGTTTCTCTCTTTGGCTTCTGCTGCTTCATGTAAAGAGCCCTGGACACACCTCTCCCCTCCTCCTTGCCTGCATGGATTGAACATATGTGGGCTCGGTTACTATAAGCTCCATGAGGACAGGGGGAATTTGTTTGTGACGTGTAGTGTCCCCAGCTGTAGGGACAGGACCTGGAACATGGTAGGTGCTCAACAGATGTTAGTTACCACAATGGATAGATTAATGGATAAATGTGCCTAATGCTCACCCCAATCTTTAGACCACCAGTCCCTTTGTGACAGCCCCCTGTAGCTCACCTTCCACATGCCTGACTAATTACCCTGCCCCTGCCTTTCGGCATCTTTCCCCAGCCCCAGGGCAGTCTGCCTTACTGAGTTACTTCTCTGCTCAAAGCCCTTTGCTAATTTTGAATTTTTTTTTCAACGTTTATTTATTTTTGGGACAGAGAGAGACAGAGCATGAACGGGGGAGGGGCAGAGAGAGAGGGAGACACAGAATCGGAAACAGGCTCCAGGCTCCGAGCCATCAGCCCAGAGCCTGACGCGGGGCTCGAACTCACGGACCGCGAGATCGTGACCTGGCTGAAGTCGGACGCCTAACCGACTGCGCCACCCAGGCGCCCCGCCCTTTGCTAATTTTGGATGCCTGGGTTTGGGGACACGAGGGGACCTTCGCGGTCTTCTGCATTCCCCTCCCCTTCCCTCAACCTCCGATCCTCTAACCCACCTGTCCACAGTTGGTTCCTGAGTACAGTCGGCTGCCCCTGAAACTCACGAGTGGCCTCACTGAATGGTGTGGCTTTGGGCTATGTAGCTGGCATCATTGTGATGCCATTCTAAAATTTGAGGGGTGTTGACCTTGGCTATGCTGGTCCTGGGCATCCTCAACATGCTATGCATGTACCACTTCACCCTGTCCAAGGGGTGAGGCAGGGGAGCCCCTCATGACCCAGAGCCGACAGTGGGAAGCAATTGAAGAGATCTCAAAGATCTTCCCTCAACACTGCTGGAGACTTGGACCCTGGGCCAGAATGGGGGAGGTTGTGCACAGGAGGCTGAGGCTTTTCCCACCCCACCATGAGAAGGCTCAGATTGACTCAACAGGATTCTGTTGAGGGCTTGCCTTTATAACAGGCACTGTTCTAAGCACTGAGGAAGAGCAGTGAACACACAAAAATTCCTGGCCTTGGAGAGCTGGCATTCTAACTGGGGACACGGAAAAAGACCCTTGTTCCATTGAAGCCTTTTCCAACCATTGGCAGCTTGAAAAAGATTAAGTACAACGTCAGAACTGTTTAGGACATAATTGTGGCTGCCATCTTGTTAATGTTAATCTATTTTGAACTTGGAACGTTGACCCCATGTAATTAGCCCAAAAGTTTAGCCCCATCTTGCTTGTGTGCTTGCTTGCTGGTGCCCCAATAAAGACATTTTAAAAAGAAATATTTTATGGCTTGAGCTATGTAACGACTACATGAGTATATATGTGAAAATTCATTGAGCTTTCCGTTAAGATCCATACATTTTACTTTATGTAATAGCTCAGTTTAAACGTTTTAAAACATGGGGGCACCTGGGTGGCTCAGTGGGTTAAGCATCCAACTTTGGATCAGGTCATGATCTCACAGTTTGTGAGTTCAAGCCCCATATTGGGCTGTCGGCTGTCAGCACAAAGCCCACTTTATTAAAAAAAAAAATCTTTTTTAAACATTTATTCATTTTTTGAGAGTGAGAGAGACAGAGCATGAGCGGGGAAGGGGCAG